CCCCCCCCCCCCCCCCCTTAAATTATTGTCTGTTAAAAACTGTAAGATCAGTTTTCTCTTCTGCATTTTGCACTTAATATGTACAAATTTTGCATATGAAAAGTAGTGTTTATTACTTTAAGATAAAAGTACAACTTCTGTGTACAAACACAGAAAGGTCCTTTTAGTGAAGTTAAGCTTTAAGCATGTAATACAGCTAATTTTCAAAAATATTTTAATATCTCTTTGTTTCTAAATTAGTTTCATGTAATTCTGATGGAGAAACCTGTGATTCTTGAGCAGGTTCTTCTGTTACAGTTTTATCATGTGAACAGAAGCAGGGATGTGGTCCCAAAGGGACAGGAGCTGGCGTTTAGTCTTGAGTTTCTTGTCGTGGGAAGGACATGAGCTGGAGGAGGCTTCTGGATTCCTTTGAACCTGGCTGTACAGCCAGTCTAGCTTTAATAACTCATTGCTCAATTGAGTGATGAAGCCCTAGGAAGATTCTGTAATCTGGGGTAAAGGGAACTTTTGAGACTCCTCCTGTAAGGGAGATCATGGGAGACTTGTGTGTATGATTTGTATGAGGATTTCATAGAAGTTTAAAGAATATTCCACTAAGGCATGCTCTTGTATTAGTTTCTGTGGGTTTGGCAGGAGGGAGGTGTGCTCTTTATTGTTGTTGAGGAGTTTTAGTTTTAATAGAATACATGGACATTAGAGTTCTTAATGTAAATAAAAATGAGGACTGATTAAAACAAAAAAACTGATGTTGATCTTGTCTTGCACTTGCAATTTGGCTATTTGTGAAGAAACATTGCTTTCCATGGGAAACTAATTTGGTTGTTTTGATTTTTTTTTTTTAGATATTTTTAAAGTTCTGCTACAAAATCATGACTGACACTTATAGTTTACTCATTCTTAATTTGGATTGACAGTCTAAAAATGCATATCTAATACGCTGGATATGTTTTCCATTTAAATGCTTTATTAACAGAAAATAGTTTCATTGTTTAATATCCTGAATTTAATATTTTGTCATCTCATCATTGTCATCAAGATTTTAGAACCAGTAATATTAGCTTCTTTTACTTAGTTCCTATACACAAATTTCATGTGGAAAATCACTTTCTCAGCAATAAACAGATTGTTTATAACCTGAGTAACCTAAAATGTAGATGTATATTTTTAATCTCTGCAGAGTCCCAATGGTCTGCTTTTCTTTAGCCACATGTGGAGAGCAGATTATCAATGGCCATACCTGGCAGGGAAGAAAAGCTAAGAGCAGAAAACATTTTTACTTGGAAGTAGAGATCCAAGCCATTTCATTTTCACGTGGTAGTGATTTGGAAGAGGACAGAATCCATTTTCCCAATGGTTGCAGTCGTGTGATTTGAACAGGCCACTGGCAATTTTTATAGTGTTTTCAAAAATAATATTTTTACATTACATTTATTTCCATTGAGGAAATGAAGTAGTATGTTTGTTGTCTTTTCTTCCGCATCAAATTGATGGGAGGGTTGTATTCTGTAACTTAGTGTAATACATCTGAACAATATATGGGTGAGTGGGGAGGGCAGGAAGTTTGCCAGAATGAAATGGTTGAGTCATTTTACACAGTAAAAATTAACATGATTTTTTTTGTTGTTGTCTTTGATATTTTTTTCTCTTCCAATGTTAGCAAGAAGGCTCATTGTGTGCTCAGCACTGTCTGAATAATTTACTACAAGGGGAATACTTTAGCCCTGTTGAGTTATCCTCTATTGCACAGCAATTGGATGAGGAAGAAAGAATGAGAATGGCAGAGGGAGGAGTGTCTAGTGAAGAATATAGAACTTTTTTACAGGTAAAATCATCTTAATTAAGGTTGCTTGATGTTTGTCTGAAATCTAATATTGTATAGCACAGACCTGCTATTCTTGCATAGCTAGAGAAGGTTAATTTCCTAATGCTAAACCTTAATTTTTATGCCTTTTCATGCATCTTAAATTTGGCTTTTTCAGATGTTACTAGTTGCTTCATAATACTACAAAAAGCTACATCATCTTCATTTTACAAGTAGGAGGGTTAGGCATGGTGAGGAGGAGGATCAGCAGTTTGCCTTTTGTTTTTGTAAGTCAGTGGCAGAGATAGGAACAGAAGTTCACATCCCTGTCTGTCCTTCCAGCACTAAGCATTTTTCATGTAAAGGTTTGACTTCTTAATAAGCTTATTTGGGCACTGTAGCCTTACAGACTGGGACATAATGAGTTGTTGCTTTAAATATGTGCAGCTGTATTTATTTTCAAAACTGAATTATTTCTGACCTTTTATGCTTACACCATTTTTTCCCTTTTCTCCCTCCCATTCTCACACTGAGCAGCAGCCTTCTGTAAATATGGATGATAGTGGATTCTTCTCAATTCAAGTAAGCATGGCTCTATACTGACAGAATTTATTTATGCACTGTATGTTCTCTCATTTAATTTAAAGGGCATCGAGCTTTTTTCATCTAAGTTTCCAGTTTATACCTTTAATGGGGTTAAGTGCTGAACTCTTAAATCTGTGGAGCATTTTGCATTAAGAACAGTGACTTGCAGTTCTTCAGTTCATAGGCCCTTAAACACATAGTAGAAGCATGGACTCCTGAACTGCGAAATGACACCTGCTGGCAATAAGCTTGATTTCTAAATAGCTGCTTCTCAGCACTTCAGGTATAGATCTTAGCTCCCTAAACTACAGGTGAAAAAGCAGACTTGAGATTGTTTTCTCAAATTATAGACTGTAAAGCCCTTGGCAGTGGTTACAGGATTATCTGAGTGATCTGCAGAATGGAAAAAGCTGCAATATCTGCATTCCAGTTTTTGTAACGCACACCAGACACTTTAGAACTGTTTTTTTTCTTTTTATTTTTTTAACATAATGGAGAAGTAATTAATAATAAATACCTAAACCAGAACAACAACAAAAGGTATTGAACACCAAATTGGGGCTTGTGTATATACTAAAGCTGTAGGTAATGCTTTGCACCTTTTACTGTCTCCCAAGCTTTCAGAGGTGCTTGTCGGTGTTCCAGAATCCCTCGAGAGCCTCTAGTCCTATGGCAGGACAGGGATGTTTCTCTATTCAGTGAAAAAATATTAACAGTTTGGCATTTCTTGTGTCCCTGATTGTGCTGCTTTGATATTGAAGCTGAAAAAAAATTCTTCCTCATGTTCTACTACTTTTGTCCTGTCATTGCTTTGCTTGCTACATAGTTGGCTCGCTGAAAGGAAGATGAATTGTTAATTTAAAATTTTATACCATTATTTCAGATAGCTTTAAAGAGTTATTAAAAAGAGTGTGTGCTAATGTACCCGCCTGATCCTGTGACCATCCAGTAGCTACTGTGGGGAAGGATAACATTGTATTTGTGGGGGAAGGGAGGGCAGAGAGGTACATTGAGAGCAGAGATGACAGTTTGTGAAGTGTCTATGGGAGGTGAAGTTACAGCTTTGTCTGGGAGAGTAAGCTTATTAACACATCTCAGTTAAATCCTAATTTTGTTACTTCCCCTTAGATATGGTGTGTGTGTTATGTTTGCATGTAGATTCATGACAGTTGCTTTTTGAATAATGTGATTCCTAGGTTTACTAGCCATGTTTTGAAATCACAAGTTTTATGAAGACAGTGTAATTGTTTATAGCAGCTAAGATGGTTGCATTGCTTAAATTTAGATTTGACTCGTTTGACTCATAAAAAGTGCTATTTTTTGACAGGTTATAAGCAATGCCTTGAAAGTTTGGGGTTTAGAACTAATCCTCTTCAACAGCCCAGAGTATCAGAGGCTTGGGATCGACCCTATGTAAGATGTTTTTTTCGTAGCACCCTGCTTTCATTTTACAGAAAAATAATGCTCTTAATCTGTGATTTAAACCTTTCTTTAAAATTACTATATCAAGCTCTGTTGCATTCTGATGTTTTTATTATCCTCTCTGTTTTAATTTTTTTCCTGTCGGGGCTGTTTATGAGCCACTGTCCCCTGTGCCTTCGTGATATCTCAGTATCTGTGGCATCACAGACATATGGAGATTTCAGTAATGTTGACAACTTCCTAAATGTTATAAAAGCAGTATGAGTACTCTGTAACATCAACAGTTGTATTGCTGAAATTTTATTATATAAGGTTAAATTAGTGGTAGCAAAGCACTTAAACATTAATATGCACTCCAATATTAGTGTATTTAATTTTATCTATACCTTTTGTTTTTCTTTTTACAGAAATGAAAAATCATTTATTTGTAATTATAAGGAACACTGGTTTACAGTTCGAAAGTTAGGAAAACAGGTGACATTGTCTTTTTTTATTTAAAAATTGACTTCAGAATGGGGGTGGAGGAGTGGTTGTGAGCAGACCATGTGTTGGCCTTTTGCTGCAGTTTGCTTTAATAATATCCCATATTAAAAAAACACAAACAACAACAACTAAATGTTTGTTCTATCACAGAAATGCCAGGCAGCTTTTTATGAATGTTAGCCTGGGGAAAGACCCTAGGATCAATTCCCCAGTGAACCTGGCCTTGGAAGCTGCAGCTCTAGTAGAGTCTGTGTGATGTCTTAAGCGCTTTTCCTTCTTTTCTGCATGAAAAATAGCAGAAAAATTGTACAGGGGGGTGCAGAGGGGTGGGAGTCCTAGAGAAAGATTAGGATCCCTATAGAATGCAAATTTATTTTAATGCAATAAATTATTTACATTGTAAAAATAATTTTGCTCATTTAAATGGACAGTAGGTATAGAAAAAAGTTCAAATTTCAAATGTGTTAGTATTTATGATTGCTAGTTTTGAAGAGTGTCCATCAGGATAAGGTTGGGGAAAGTAGAATCACAAGTTTGCACTAGTTTAGAAAACTTTCTGAAAGTTCTGTTACAAGCAGGAAATAGTTATTAAAGGTAAGGGATGGCTATACAAGTATATAGTGTATACATATAATAACTCAAGTCACATCCATGTCTCTTGTAACACCATTTCAGTGTTTTATTTCAGTAGCCAATTATTGTTTTGGATCATACTGCATAAACTTTAACATAAACTTGTTTGGTGGTTTTCAGGGTTTTTTTGGTCATAGAAAATGTTCATTAAATAAGTGTTTAGATTCTACAGTAGTGGACAGGAGTGTCTTTTACACCAGTTGCAAAATGAATCAAACAGGGTTATCTGTTGTCATCCAGATTAAAAAAAAAAAAAAATAAAATTCATTTCCCCTGTGAGAAAACAAACTAAACTTTGTTGTTCTGCTTTAGTTTAAAAGTATGGCTAATGTTTACAGGCAATTTTTTTATGTTTGATACTGAAAAGGCTGAATAGTCTCTTAAAAGTACAGGAATTTTCCTTATTATATGTTAAGTGAAATTTTGTGAGATAGCATTCTATCCCAAAATGTTCTAAGTTGAAGGGGGGTTGTCTTTTGTCTGTACACGTGGCTTTTAACCACATGAAGACAACACTAGGTGTCTGTTATCTGGGAGTAATGAGAAGATAGACAAAAGTTGACTTAGAATTGACCTGCTTTTCTTCTGTTAAAGCAAAATTACCAACCTTCCTCCTCCATATTCCCTTTTAAAAGTTCGTCTGTAATCTACCATATTTGTTTATGTAACTATATTCCCTGCTCCTGCACTGTTGGTCCTCTTACCCTTTCCTAGTGGCAAAGGGTGTTTTTGACAAATTAAATGACTGAATGACAGAATGGTAGATAGTCACCTGTATTCCAGGTGAATTACAGCATGGGCCTGACTGCAGATAGATGACTGCATATATGGAAGTTTGGGTAGATAAATGCATTTTTGTGAGAATGGAGATAGAATTCTCCTGCTATCTGAAATGGTGCTTCCTGGTTAAAATTGGGTAATACTGAATGAGTATGGTATAAAAAAGGTTCTTCATATTGATTACAATATATATGGGGACTTAAAGGTAGAATATTTTGTCTTCCATGTTGAATATATTTCATCTCTAGAAATAGTGTTATAAATGACTAGTTGTCTTCAGGGGACTAGAAGTGATCTGTGTGTATTTATCTCAAGTGTCCCCTATTGCAGTATTATGCTGTAATATCAGCATATTCAATTGGAGTTAATTTTTCTTATTTATACTTTATTTCAGAGGGAAGTAAACAATAGTTTTCAGCATCACCAGCTATTAAATGAAGAATGTTTAATGAAAGTTTTTCATGGAAAGAATTCAAGTTCTGTTTCTTAATTTATGAAGGGTTTCTTCCTTCATTAGTCTCTGAACAGATTTAAAACTAGATCAAGCAGAATTTTAGAATCATGACTGAAATAAATCAAAATATAATGGTTGAAGAATTATCTGTTTTAATCTGTTTGCCTGGTACTAATGCTCAGTAATGGGAGAGAGCAGCAGTAATTTCCCTACTCCACATCTGTTAGCTGAAGAGTATTTGAAGGGTAACTTTTAGTAGTATAGGTATTGTGCTTCAAAAGACTTCTAATTTGATAATTTATTTTACTAGATTTATTCAGATATTCCATCATAGAAAATGACCACAATGTACAGAAATGGATTACCAAGTAATCTTTATGCTAATTTGTTCTCTCAAACCTTTTTTTTCTTAATTACAGTGGTTTAACTTGAACTCTCTCTTGATGGGTCCAGAACTAATATCAGATACATATCTTGCACTTTTCTTGGCTCAATTACAACAGGAAGGTAATAGTAACTTGCAGATGTTAAATCTCATTAATTAAAAGTAGGTAATAATCATTATTTATTAGAACTTATGTATTCAGTTAACTACCCTCAGTTTTATGATTGAAATAGTGAAATAATCCAAGTCCTTATAATGAAAGGTAGAGCCTTACATTGTAATAAATTGCACATCATTGTGTTCCATACAGTGTGCATTTTAGAGTGTTTGTGCATGCACCTTAATGCTGTAGACTTACGATTTATTTTTCTCAGGTTATTCCATATTTGTAGTAAAAGGTGACCTGCCAGACTGTGAGGCTGATCAGCTTTTGCAGATGATTCGAGTACAGCAGATGCAGCGACCAAAACTAATTGGAGAAGAAACAGCACAGTCAAGAGATCAGAGGTAAGGTAAATAGAGATTTCGTTTTAATAATGGTCAATATGATCAGTTTCCATGAGTAATGCCTACATGGAGACAACCCCCTTAAGTAGCTAGAAGTACCTTCAATGCAGTACACTTATTACCATTGCACACAGTAAAAACAAGTTGGTGGAATACAAATGCTGTATTTTTAAGTGGGCAAAATCTGTAGTCTTTCCATGTGCATAAGCATTGTATAGTGCAGAATTTTAAGTTCATGACTACAATATTTTTCTATTTAGAGTAAAATGGGTTAGCAAATCTTATCAAACTGTGGTTAATAATAATCAATCTATAATTAAGATTGTCTTGTGCATTCTGTCATAAGTTAAAAAAAAAAAAAAACAAAACAAAACAAAACCCAAGAAACCAGTATCTGAATTCTGCATCGTATAAATCATACATCATTCCCTTTTGGAGTAATTTCACTGTAAATGTTGTGGTGCTGCTCTGTTGTGATGCATCCTGCTAATATAAAGCATTCTTGAAAGCATATGAAGTACTATTACTGCAATAATTGTATCATGTTTTCGTAGTGAATAAGTTGCATACTGATAAAAAGGCTTAAGGCTTTTCAGATTAATTCATTATTATTTCTTCCACTCTGTAAAGGTATACTGGAGTTGTAAATTGATGGAATGAAAACAAACTATTTGGCAGTAATATGGAAAGTGTGTATAGTTTACAGAGAATCTGTGGCCTTAGTGTGGTCATCAAAGCTTCCTAAAAAGGAGACCACATGCACTGTTTTCTGCTGGTGTGTTTAAACAGCACCAGGCTCAAACAAGATGTATTATTGCTCTTTGTAGACTTACTGGTTTTGAAGTTTTTCACATTGAACAGTTTCTTATCGACATGCACATGGGTTTAGAGTTGCAGTATTTTCAGTTTTTACAGCTGCAAGCTCTGCTTGCAGCCCTTTCGTGCTCTGTCACGTAGAAATGAAAATATTTGTTTATATAGCAGATTTTTCACAACAGAAATCTTTTTTCCAAAGTTAAAAAAAAGAATAGAGTTAAATCAGGAGAAGATATTTACTTAAGATCTTACAATAAAAGTTAATACCATTGCAGTCTCAATTCTGCCATAAATGTATCAATTTCACAGACTACCCAGAAGTGATGTGGACCAAGCAATAGAAGTTAACCATCCTTTTGATGGAACAGGCATGTTAGATGAAGATGAAGAGAATTTTCAGAGAGCCCTGGCTCTAAGTAGGCAGGAAATTGATATGGAAGATGAAGAAGCTGATCTTCGCAGAGCCATTCAACTCAGCATGCAAGGTACAGTGCTCATTTAAATTTCTCTTACAGTGTTCGTGTTGCTTATGATTTGGTCTGAAATCAGTTTGTCAGACACTTTTTCCAGCATGTGTCAAGCTCTCTAAAAAGATGGGCTTTGATTTGTAGAAGGACAATCCAGAACTCCCTGTAGCTATCTCCTTTCTGCTTTTTGAAAAGTTGTAACTTTCCTGTTAGCATTGATCATTAGCAAGCAAGAAAATTGGCAAAGGGTGGCAGGAGGGAAGGGGAACAGTCATAAGGTGAGGAGAGATAGTATCAAGTGAAGTTAGCCTATGTGCTTATTTCTCTGACAAGTCCCTTTCTTCCTCTCCAGTTTGAAGACATTTTCTTAAGCTATATTTCATTTACTGACGTCATTTTACTGTAATTAGTAGGATATGGCATGTTCTGGTTTTAGGTAGTCGTCGAAGTGAGTTCTCGGACTCATTACCACAGAACGTTCCTCAGTTGCCTCACACCAGTCAGACAGACTCCCTTTCTTCAGAAGAACTGCGAAGGAGAAGACAAGCATATTTTGAAAAGTAAAGTAGTTGATAGAAAACTGCACGTGGAAGTACATGTCATATTTTTCATTGCTTTTGGGGTGTGGATGAGTTTCTGACTGAGCTCCAGCTTAACTCTTCTCTCTTAACATGTTTTCCTAACAGTACCTGAATTTTGCTATTCCCAGGTGGTTCCTACGAAGAAGCCTGTAAATAAGAGGGGATCTGTTAGTAATGCAACATCAGTCTTAAGAAGAAAGAAAACATATATGTTCTAGAAGTATTTAAAATTAAATACTCTTAAATTTCTGTAATTACTTTCCAGAAGAAAAGTATTTTATCTCCAAGACGTAGCTACTGGTAATGATGCCTCTAATGTGCATCACATGAAAGCATTTTATCTTCTGTTTCTCTTCTGGAGCACTTTCTTAATATACTGGTGCAGTATTGTAGCTTTTCCTTATCTCTGTCTCCTAGTGATGGAGGAAATAAAGACCAGGGAGAAATGCTGTGGATGTGGGGAGTTAGACTTTGCATGAGAGGATAAGAATGCAAAACATCCGAATTCTGTGAAAATAGTAATGTGGCTTGGAGTATAATGTTGGGAAGATAGGTGTCTGAAGGTTAGCAGGGTGATGTGATTGAGATTTTAGGTGCGGAGGTGTTATTGTACCAAACAGCTTCTACTTCTCACTCTTGTCCTTCCTTACAATGAAATAAACTTGACACAGGTCTTATACTGATGTTGATCTTACTCTCTTACAAATTTATAACACTTTCAGGCAGCAACAACAGCTACAGCAGCAGGATCAGATCCCGAACCTACGTGATAAGCCAACTCTAAGCTCAAGCACTCCAGAAGCTGACCCAGGTATTTTTTTAAACTTCCTTTCAGCACCAAAATATTTGTTTTTTCCAGCTTTGTATTGTGCTGTTTCCTAACTTGCCTTGTCTGCCTACTTCCTCACTCCAGTAGCCATTTGGCCATTGCTCTATTTGGCAATGAAGGAAAGGATGACTTTCTTGAAAAGCCTGTTCTGCTTTGAATGTCAGTATCTTCTTTCAAAGTGAAGAGCATTAATATTAGACCATTTGAGTTCTGGCTTTTCTTTTTGTTGTTTTTGTTTGGCTTGAGCATTACAAATTGTAATCTTTGGGATTTGTACCAACAATTTGTTTTCTAAATGACTTTTTAAATTGTATGACAATGTAATAAACTTGGAGTAGTAGCTGCCAAAATTACTGGAACCAGTTTTCAGTAGAGCATAAGCTTGTAGGTCTTGCCAGTATTAGTTATTGGTGATCCAAAATGAATGTATATTACTTGTTATAAAGTCACTGTTGTGAATGGAAAGCAAAGTGCAAAATGTTCACTCGTTTTTAAAAACCAAAAACCCAATTTTGGATGTAGGGTGGAAATGAGACAAAAGAAACATTGAAAGCATTTACCTACAGTTGAGAACTAGCTTTGTGCCTTTATTACAACTTATATGCATTTATTTTCTTTAGGAGGTGATATGAGTGAAGAAGATATGCTTCAAGCAGCCATGAATATGTCTCTGGAATCTGTTAGAAATCACTTGAACACAGAAGAGGAGAAATGACATATCTCTTTTTTTTTTTTTTTTTCTCTTGTCAAAACACTAAGTCTTCATTATAATTTTACTGTGTGGATGTTGCACAAGCAGGGTTCATTTCAGAGTTCTGGAAGCAGGAATGAAAGGGGGGTGGATGTCAGGGTTTAGAGGGAATCTACAAATATAAAAAAAGATTGCACTAATTTAGAAAACTACTACAGAACATCTGTTCGTAACAGTAGCTGCGTTAAAATTAAACTATTCACTTGAACAGAGTTTAGACACATGTAGCAGCTGTACCTTGCAATTAAAAAGCAACTTTATATTATTTTGAATTCTATAGAAAATACAGGAGGTGTTGACAACAGCATCAAATTATTTCCTTCAGTACTAATGGAAAAGTGGATACAAGTAATAAGTTGTACTCATAAATGACTAAATTCTTCATAAGAAATCACTTAAACAGAATTCCTTTTCCCATTTTATCTTAGATAATTTATTTTGTGATTGTTCTGAATTACTTACTAGCAACTTTTCGATCCTGCTGTCCACTTTTGAAATGACCCAATCTGCAGGAGAAACGTGAATCCATAAATTTCATACTTTGCAATTAAAGAGAAAATCTTCAGTGTATTGTTGATTCTAATGTTACTTCTGAATCTTTCAGTGACTTCTGACGCTTTCTGGTTTTGCTTTCAGTTCCAACTCTAAAATTTTCAGATCCATGTTTAAAGTAGGATTTTTGCATTGCCTTTTGGCAGATAACTCACTGCCTTTGATTTGATTTTTTTAAAAATTTGTTTTCTTCTGCTCTTTCTAGTTATGCCACACATTACTGTAAAAGTAGCATATAATCCGTTGGGTTAAACAGGTTTTCTTTTCTACCTCTTCTGGAGTCTTTTTACTTCTTCAAGCCCAACCCTGCATTCTGGTCTTTCACTATGAGAGAGCTGTAACTGAGTAGGAGAAAGGAGGAGGGGATTTAGGTGCCATAAAGTCAGTGCCACACACATAAGGTGCATTCCTGCAGTCTGAAATGACCCCTTGTGCAAATAGCTCTTTTAAGAATGAATATTTATGTATGTGTGGATGTTCTTTCTGAAGTGCTTTTTATGAGTGTCTGTCAGAATGTTGCAGCTTTTTCAGGAATGGCCTTTATTCATGCACCTTACAATTTTTTATCATGCTGTTTCTGATCCTGAGAAAATTGGGGAGCAAAGTATGTGAGATGTCTTACAACCAATAGCATAAGCTATTTGCTTTGATATCCAGGATGAATGTGTAACAGGGTGACCAAGCCTGACTTTCAGCTTCAGTGCAAGAATTGAGATGTTTCATTTTCCTAAATGGTGCTTGAAATACAAATTCTGTTTACATATAAATTATATGGAAATACGTTATAGATAGATATAGGGTATGTAAACTGTTGTCCACTTAATGCATTAACAGTTAGCACAGGCACTCTGAGAATCTTTTGAAGATAACCCCGTTTCTTTATCAAAATATTCTGTAGTTATTTCAGTGCACAATAGAAATTAATTAAAATTAGCATGAAATGAATGGTAGCTAGATGGAAATACACATTCAGCATTACCTAGTACTGTACATGAAAGGGCTTTTACCTCTCAGTAAAGATTTGTTTACAGCAATGGTTTCTTGATACAGCGTAGTGTATTATTATATTATACGTAATTGGGCTAAATTCTGTTTTCCTTACCTGTGTACTGAATTTCCACCAATGTCACCAGAACTACTGGTATGTGTAAGACAGTATGGATTTTGACATGAAACAGCACTATTTTTAAAAAATGATTTTAAATTTTGTCTTTTTTAAATAATCCTGTCATGCACACATTATAATTAATATTTTTAATGTCTCTAATACAGCTAAATGGTGGCTTTAAAAGGCCATATGTGCATATGCCATTTTGAAATGCTGTGTTTTTCAGGATATAAATTTCTGCTTTCAGTTAAAAATTTATATGAAACTGAAAACAGAAAAGGAATCTCTAAAGCACTGAATTATTTCTTTGCTCATCTGTAAATTATCCACAGCTTTAATTTCCCTTCTTTTGTTGTGCCATAAACTGATTCTGAAATAAGACTCATTTTTATAAGTAGGTATAGGCTGGCAATTTGATACCAGTACTTGGAACTTGGACCTTTTATCTTCTATTATAAGAATATAATAAAAATGTATTATTTCTATAGCTATATAGTGTAGCAGCCCTATGTTAAAAAAAAATGCCTAGCTCATTGAATTGCGTTAACTGTAACCCATGACAATTACATGTTTTTATCATCACTAAAGCATGGAGGTTTGCATTTGAACTTCCATGTGAGTCTGTAAGTTACTTCATCACCCAAGTGTTTTAATATGTAAGGAATATAAAGTAACAGTGCCTGAAAAGCACAAATGTGTCAGTCATCACAGGGCTAACCATATTCCTTTCTGTGTAGAAACATTGTCACTTTACAAATACCAATTTGATTTTCAGAGGAATGTCAAGTTTAATGAAATAGGCGTATCTGCCTAGTCAAGCAGTTAAGAGGTAGCAATTTAAGCTACATATGTTAATTGCACCAAAGGGAAAGACTTAATACTAATTGCTGACAGTACATATTTTATAACCAGACCTAAAGTTCAAAATGTGTGGACCTGACAAGCTGTCAATAAAAATCTGATCTCATTTTTTGGTGTGCATTCTTTCAGTGATAAACAGTTTTCAACGTGGCTGAACTATGCTCATTAAGGCATTTTCTAGTTTAGAGCCTATTCCTAGTGTTATCTAGTCTGTCAAACTGAAGGGTTTTTTTTCCCATGTTGTAGCTTTAGGCCAAAGTCCATTGTAAAGGAGTAATTACAGTATGATATTTGAGGGAATTCCAGACTTATTCATCACATAGATTTTTACAGTCTTCCTCACAGTGCGCAGTCCATGTGATGTAATTTGTGGTTTTCTGCCTATAAAAATCAAAGGGTAGGGGGATTGAGGGATATTTACATTAAATATCTTCAAAAATTAGTTCTGTATGTATAATTCTGTAAACTGCTTTCATGGTCTTGTAATGAGGGCAGGAATAAAATCTTGTAGTGCAGTCATGCTTGATTAAGCACAGCACATATAAATATGAGCTATTCAAATGCTTACGTTTTTCTGGGCTTGAAACTAATCTGATACAATACTGTCTTACTTTCCAACATTTGGGCTCCTTGTGCCATTCAACTTCAAGTTTAAATGTAATTTTCAGCTAAGGTACCTACTGTTTTTCATACTTTGCAGACTACTTACAAAGGATCAATACAGAGTTAAATCTCCAATGTGTTTTAATGTTGGTCTGTTGTTTCTATTACAAATCTACAAAATTGTGAGTTTAAAATGGGTTTTGTACATGTCTAGTAAACAATTTTATTTCAGTATCTCAAATACTATCATTTGCAGGCTGCTTTGTTTAATTACAGAACTGACAATTAGGCTGTTAAAAATGAACCAGAATGTGTTACAGTTCTAAAATGTCTGTGAAATTTTCTAGAATTTAGTTATTGTTTCAAATAATGATGAAAATATACAAACGGTGGCCTTCTTACTGAGAAATATGGGGAATTGGATTGTAGAACTGTGGAACTTGTATTTACAAAGAAGTATTGTACAAATCATGTTACCAGTATGTACTTTTAAAGGAATTGGAAAAAAAAAAAAAAATCCAAAGAAAAGAATTGAAGTAGAAATTTTTTTAACGACTTAAATATAAAATCATTTTGCTCACTTGGTAAGCCATTGCTGTCTTGCATAAAACAATCTTAATTTCTGGGAAATCTTCATAGTTACTCACAAAAAAGTCTGAACAGGTAATGCATATATACCCATTCCCCACATACACATGATCAGTTGTTCAAGAACAGTGCTCAATACATTCAAAGTGACCTGGTCCAAATATTCAGTTCTCTAGTTTCAGATTACTAGCTGCTTTGTGTTATATCCAGGTTTGCATCTTAAAAGCATGAGCTGTTTTGCAATAAACTTTTTTTAACCTGCATATGCTCATTTTGCCTTATTTGCATTACAGACGTGGAGGGAATGCTTTAGTATTTCACCTGCCATAGTCACTTCTTTCCCCAACTACAGTTCTTCAGAATGTTAAAGTACATGTGACTTTTCAACTGCTTTTACCAAATCAAAATGTTTTTACTTTATTTTCTTGTTTAAGAAAAGCAAATAATTGTTACTACACTTTTTTTTTTTTAAAAAAAAAAATCCTTTCCCCCAGTATAGCCACTGTGTGAATTCAGGTGTTTGAACAGAAAGGGATGTAATAGTTAAATGTCACTGTGCAAAAAGAAAAAAAAAAGGATAAAAACCTTGCTATTGTCTTTAAAGCATGGAAGCATTGATAAAATTTTATTTTTTGCTACATGAAACCTTGTGTACAAAACAGTGTAGAGTTGGGATTTTGTAAGGGAATAATTTTTTTCATCTCTTGCTTAAATAGTTGTGTATTTTAGAAATAACTTTCAGTAATAGATTTTTTTGTCTTGAGACTGCTTTCAGTATCATGTCTAGCTCTGGATTCCTATACAATTTTTGTCTATTTTGTGTATATAAAGCAGATAATACTGTAAAGATTAACAAAAGGAAAGCTGAAATGCTTTGTCACTGTTTTGACTAGAAAATGGCAGTGCTGTTTGATATTTTGAAAATGCTCTCCAAATAGGCACGAATCTATATGGTTGTATTTGATATCACTTTTTAAAATAAATATGATTATAGCTTCTAATGTTTCTCTCTTGACCTGAGTATTTGCATGTGTGTGTTCCCTTCTATGTGGATTGGACACAGAATTATCAAACATGAAAATCAAATAATATCAATGGGCTTTTCACCCAATGTTGTATATGTATGTTAGTAGCAAGGTAATTTTCTGTTATATGTAACTTAATTTTTTGTCATCTCTGATGTCTTTCTATCTCATGCTTGAAAATTAAAGACACCCCCATTAGGAAAGAAGTTAGTACTGATTATTATGCTACATCTTTAAAAATTGTATGCTTTCTAACTTTAAAATAAGCTAATATTCTCTGTTTTGCTACCAGGACACACATTATTTTTGTGACACAATGAACTTTTTGTGCTTAGTAAATCCACAGAGTATACTGGATCATGTCTGTGTATTTTACTCAACAGTAGATGAAGCCAATCAGCTAAAAAATTAGTTGTAATCTAAATAGTTTCTAGTTTTTCAGGAGTAGAAAGTGAGGAAAAAATGCCCTCTGTGCTACTTCACTGACTTCTTGATTTACTTGGTATTATAAAATGAACCACAATAGGAGACATTATTATAATCTCTAAATACTTTTAAAAGTCTGGAGGACTTCACTGATCTTACTTGGAAAATATTAAGACATAAAAATGAGTTAATCAAACATTGTTTGAAAAGATGTCACATCTTTTATCTCCTGTGGACTAATAGAGTTTCCTTTCCAGAGCTCTGCAAAACACCATTAGGGAAGTAACAAGCACGTTTTTTTCATGGCCTTCTGGTAATGTTTGTCAGTTTGTAACTCCAGAGCATGTGTTTTGTGCCTGCTGCATTCTCTCTGAAAATGTCAAGATTTCACCTGTGAAATGCTGTACTCAGCTTCATTTCACCATCCATGTGGTGCTTTTATCTTTTTATGTAGTTACTAATTTGACGCTAGCAATGAGCTAGCTGCCCTGCATTTTATTTCCAGTATTGGCAGTATTTTATATTGGTATTGCTCTGTTCTAATACTGCCTTTTCTGTACTTCACTTGATCAAAACTGAAATTAATTGGACCAGAGTTGGGGTTGTGGCTAGAAATTCTGCCAAGCATCCATCACATTTACGTCCAAAGCAGAGGGGCCTAGTATTTCAGGAACTTGCATATTGTTTAAAACCACACAGTCGAATACAAAACATCTCTTTTCTTGTAGCAGTTGGGCACTGTCTCTTGTTGGTGACACAGGACCCAAGTATGTGACGTAATTAGGGTGGGGTTCACGTTAATCCCAGGGTGTTACCGGCCCGGCCGCGCCCCCACCTCCCCGGATGCTCCACCACTATCCCGGCGTCCTCAGCTGCCGCGTACACGTCATCGCCGCCGCGGGGGCGCTCTAGCCGGCTGCGGCCGCTGTCGGTGGTGTTTCGGGAGGGAGTGTTATGGCGACCGTCGAGGTGGCAGAGGCTGGAGCCGCCGGGAGGAGCCCCTGAGCCGGGTCGTGCCGGGGGGATGCCCGCGGTGCTGGCGAGACCGGTCTGCTGAGCCCGCAGCAGAAGCCTTGACCGTCCCTAGCGAAGAGAGGGGGGGAGGACACCACCCCTTCGCCTGCCGGAGCCGGCTGCCAGCTTCAGGGGCCGCCCGGCGCGGGGCCCTCTGAGCGGCGGCGATGGCGTCGTGGTTGGGCGGGCTGGGCTCGGGGCTGGGTCAGTCCCTGGGGCAGGTGGGGGGCAGCCTGTCTTCGCTCACCGGACAGATATCCAGCTTCACCAAGGACATCCTGCTGGAGGGCGCGGAGGAAGTGGGCGGTAAGGGGGTTGAGGCGCCGGGCCGGCCGGGGGGGGTAACGCGTGCCGGGGCTGTCTGTGGGCAGTGCGTGCCTGCTGGGGCGGGCCTGGGGTCCTGAGGGAGCTCTTCCTCCGGCCGCTGGTTTCCTCAAGGGTCAGCAGCGCCGGGCGCTGCGCTGCGCGCACCTGCTGGCCGCCTTTCAGCTTGGTGCCTTTCGGCAGAGCTGCTGGCTTTGCTGGCTTTGTTTTCGTTTTTATTCCGCCCCTGTGACCTCAGGATCTGGAGAATAAACAAACATATTCCTAGGCTCTAATAGCAGAGATAAACCTGTTCTTAAGTTTATTCGGAAGTTTCAGGATTGCGTGAA